TGACCTGTAACCGTTTCAACTGCAGCCGATACAATCTCTAGTTCTGCCAAATTAAATGGTAGGCGAAATTCACGAACACTTTTAAAGGTACTCGCTTTGATAGCAATCAAAACACCGCCTGCTCGTCGAAGCGGTCGGTCCTTTCTGAATATAATATAACCGTCGTGAAGAATTTCCGAACTATCTAAGCTCTCGTTGAGCCATGTTTCGTTAACGCACACGATATCCGAGTCTTCCGAGTATACAAAGTCCTGAAAACGATGTAGGTTGCATACGAGTTCCGTCTGCCCATCAGTGCCTGTGATTTTGTGTAGACTCTTTAGACTTCTTGCATTTAACACCATACACTTGTAAGTGGGAGAAACCGCGTTTGTTATTCGACCAGGGCCAGGATGTGTCGCGATATCGCCGCACAAGAGTAATAGGCCGAAGACATATCCGCTAAAGCTTGTAAAGTCACGAGAATATCGGAATCGAAAGCCCATTCTGCAATCGACATTTTATTCCTTGTTTGGCAGAGTTGGCTTGCAAAACCTCCACAACAAATGGAACCTCTTAGGTGCAAACACTTCACAACAATAGTCAGATGAAACTAGGACAAATTTTGTGACTAAAATCACAAGAATAACAGAGCTCGAAATTAGACGTCTTTCCGCCATCACGCTATTACCACATGTCCCACAATCATTACAGTCCTATAGTCATAAGAATGTACTGTAATCTCACACCTAATCGAAGCATAATAAACTCGTGTCTACTGTAGTCTTGTTTTAACGATGTCGTTTTTCGGACCTAGTTTTGTATTGTAGCTCAAGGTAGGATTCCGAAATATAATGGTTAATAACTGTTAATATAACAGTAATTTCAAGGTTTTCAAAATAATAATACATCACGGTTAGACCTACAGTAACAGTGTCACCTTAATATATTTACCTTCGAAAATTTAATTTCTCCTTCCTCAGGCAGAAGTTTCATTAACTCTGGACGAAGCTCCTTTGCTTTTAACCTTTTCGTTTCAGCTGTAAGAAAATAATTTATTTTAGTCAACTCAATACTGTTAGAGGCTAGCATGGTTTGGGAGTTAACACATCGAGGTTGTGGTGATGTTCAGTGGCCAATACCAGGGGTGCGCCAGACACAGCATCTTACTACTGTATTCGACAGGCCGGATAGTGGATATGCCAGATAGTTGGTTTTAGCATAATTATATTCGGGAGGTGGACTGGTGCTTTTCATGCAATTTTATTGGTTGCTCCGCTCTGGAGATCCTTGCACTATTAACCTGCGGACAAAACCAAAATGGCTTCCCGTTTCGTTCCGGTTACAGATGAGCAAATTTTTGTACTAAACGAAGCTGCGGTTTCGCCAAACACGAACAAAGCCACAGTGTGTAAAGGTATGACAAAATGATAAATTACCGGAAGCGTGTAAATACTCATTGTGTAAAACTAGGAGCAGTTGCGAAAAATGCAACTACTGTATAGGCCCTCCGGTAGGTATCAAATCTGCAGCAGCCCTGTGATTCATTTATCTCAAACTCACTAATAATTCACGAGTAAATTAGCCAACCATATTGCTTTAATTTGCTCACATGATAACACTGGGTACCTGAAGAAGTACAGTACGTTGATCCAGTCCTAGGACTGGATCAAAATTAATTTAGTCCTTGGACTGGATTAAAATTAATAAATACTGATTTATTCGCACTCGGCTTTGCCTCGGACTTGATCAAATTGCACGGACTTGAAATCTAGTCCAATCCTCAAAGTCGGATTTGAAATATTACGTACAAAACATTATACAATGAATTTGCAGTTGGAGCTCAACAACTGGCATGTGTAGATCAGTTGGTTAGAGGGATGCACCAGAATCGCAGGGCCGAAGGTTCGATTCCTGCCATAGGACGTACACTGTAGTTTTAATTCATAATATAAAATTTACACTTGAAAATGTCCATCCAAAAAAGCCGTCAATAATATAACTAATGGTCATAATTACCACTATCTACATTCTTTGGCCTCCCCGGCGGCTTCTTTGTTTTCGGTTGTTCACTTTTCTTTGTTCTTGGTTGTTCGCCTTTCTTTGGTCTTCCCCGTTTAGGTTTTGTATAGCATTGATCATCACGGACCACTTGGTCATTGTCAATGTGAGACGTCTCGCTGGTTTCTACCTGCATCACAGAATCTTGGTCGTCATCTGCGACCTGTGCAGGACCATGAAGTTCTCCATCCAGCAAGTTTTCTTCCAAGGCTTCAGAGCACTCATTTGTGACTGCATCGTGAACGATAGTCGTAACACGTTCCGGGTTCCTGTGTGTGTCAGACATGCCCACATTCTCATCAGCATCAAAATCAGTATTCATAGAAATGTCACATAATGACTCCCCAGTGATATCTTCAAAGTTAGCTGCTAGCTCAACATCGATTGGAAATTCAGTCCTCCCAAGTGTTTGTGTTACTGATTCACTATCATCAACTGCTTGCATACCTGATGCATCTTTTTGGCCAAGGTATTCGTCATTTGTATCTGTTTCTTTATAAGGATTGTCTTTTTCAACATTCGAATGTTGCTCCATGTTTGTTTCCTCTAGTAGATTGTCCATACTCATCTATATAAAAATAGTAAATTAAATCATTTGTTTTTCTTAATTTTTTGTGCACAGCTATAGCAATATTTTTTTAATCTAAGTCCTGCAATCTGGCTGCGTGACTTTTTACGACATCCTCATTCCTGACCATGTTCCAAAGAGTTACTTTTAGCGACAAACCGAGCCTGAGTGAAAAAATTAAAAAGTAAAAAAAATTACCCAAAAAGTTGAAAAGTCCAACCTACCAATACTAAGAAATTGTAAAATACAGTCACTAACTTCAATGGACTTTGTGCCAAGCCTGAAATGTACTTTTCTCAAACCAAAATCCAAAGAAACATAAATATAAACACATGGCCAGTGCAGCCTCACAGGCATTTGTTGCCGTTGATGTCAATAAACTAAATTGGCATCCAGTAATATCATAATCTGTTAATAAAACCCTAACTAACATAACGTTGACCCTATAACCTGTCACCCGCAATGGTCGAATGCTCATGAGATGGTCAAACCGGTAAACCGTGGGCTAGGCTCAGAATTTCTCTACGAGTACTTTTTAGAATTTAGATATACTGTACTATTTACCCATTGAGGGGCAGCTAGTACACAGGCTGTTACGGTATTTGAAAAAAACAAAAACCGCTATACAGGAAAAATACAGATAATACCGATATATTTCGCGATTGTATTTTGCTTAATTTTATGCAAAATTTGCTTAATTTTATGCAAAATTTTCTGTTTTCAAATTATGTGGAAATGTCCGCTTTTGGAATTGAAAATGCGTATATTTGCATTTGATATTATCCACACTCAGAATTAATCATGTGTTATATTTTTGGCCGGGAAATTTGTTTCAAGAGGTGCAACACTGTTGCTCAACTGCGAACAGGTCCGTCGAGAGAACTCCCGGGGCCCGGGGCAAATCTTCCATGGGGCTCCATGACATCAGTATTTTTAAGCTAGACCCAACTAGACTTAACTAGACTGCATGTGGAGGTACTGTAAGCGGCCCTCAATTTCAAAAATGCTCTGACCAATTTAAATTAAAGAAGCTACTCAATATTAGGCTCTCGTTCTCAAGTTGGGGCCCTATTAAGGTGGGGGCCCAGGGCAATCCCCCCCCCTTTCGGCGGCCCTGCCTGCGAATTCAAAACAAAGATTGTCATATCTCACCAGATAAATAATGTCCAATGAGGTTAGTTGTTTTAAAACATTTGTAATCCAGCGTTGTTTACGTTCTAAAAGTTCACCTTTTGACAAGCAAAATGATCGACATATTAGACCTTGCAACGACAACGTAAACAAACACGTTTAGCTCTCGCTCTAACCCTAAGTACGGATTTTCTCACAGAGTTAGCACATTGATCATCTTTGTCCTTCTGAAATAACTCCAATCAGCACTTGAAGAAAAAGCTTGATATGACGTTTAAATATACAAATCACAAACATTAAATGTGATATCAATAATATTGAAAAATATCAATATGCTGATATATCAAAAAATTCTATATCGAATAATCTGTATTAATTTGTAAAACACGATTTTATTATTCTTGGTTCCAGAAATTTAATCTCGATTGCAACTGTCAACCGAAACTAGAACTTTTTGTGCATACCCACTGCAGACTTTCAGTTCAGTTGCTAAAAAAGAACTGTATACCAACCGATTCTTTTGTTAACCGCACAGCTCTATAGTGGCAGCAATCTCCCCTTATCTGACATAAGACTGAGTAAAACAATAATGTTATATAGTTACGGGAACCACTGAGTATTTTAATAAAATACAAAAGGACAGTAACTCCAAATAACATTTTGTAGCTTTAATGAATCTACGTTTCGACTATATTTTAGTCATCATCAGGACAGATTAGTGTAATGTTACAAATACTGATATATATATATATATATATATATATATATATATATATATATATATATATATATATATATATATATATATATATATATATATATATATATATATATATATATATATATATATATATATATATATATATATATATATATAATTATATATATATATATATATATATATATATATATATATATATATATATATATATATATATATATATATATATATATATATATATATAGTTAAGAAGGAGGAGCTTAATAGTGTCACTGAAATATGATCAGTTCTTTTGAAGCTTTGGCGCCGTGGTTGAGTTCTGGTTTCCTTCTGCGAATTGCAAGGGATTCTTTATATAATAGTAGAGACCAGTGATCAGATCTATCAATTATCTTACAGTT